GTGGAAAATAAAATCAACGAAAATAAATCAGTCATATAACCTCCCTGAGAAAAAACAATGCCCTACTGTCCACATCAACAACAATCCAATAGTACAGGTGGAAAGTGTAAATAACTTGGGAATACATCTAGACAAACGGCTAACATGGAAGCATCACATCTTTAGCCAAAAAAAGCACCTTCAATTTCAAATACGAAAACTATACTGGATACTAGGATACCACTCAAACTATCACTGGAAAATAAATGTTGATATATATTAAAGCTATCATATCCAATAAGGACCTACGGCATCCAAATCTGGGGCACAGCAAGCAAGAGTAATCATCGATCATCCAGAGATTTCAATCCAAGACCTTAAGAATGATCGCGGCAGCACCATGGTTATCACAAATGCAGCACTGCACAAGGACTTAAAAATGCCCACTGTCTTGGAAAGAATAGAATTTATCAGCTCAAACTATCTCCAGCCCCTTGAAAACCATCCAAACCACTTAGCCCTCAACATCCTAGACAATAGTGCAGACATCCATCGACTAACCAGAACCTCACCCTACACTCCATATAGATTCTCAAAAATAACTGAAACATTACCCTCGCTACTAAACTATCCCACTTTGCAGTAACCCAAAATAATACTTGCTTTTTGTTATAGTATGAAGAAGTAGATGAAGAGTACCCGATGGGATACTTCACTGGAAATCAATCAATGTCAGAATAATCGTACAACATGGCGCGGCGAGGCGCGGCGAGGCGCGGCGAGGCGCGGCGAGGCGCGGCGAGGCGCGGCGAGGCCACTATAACGACCTTGGCGACCACATCCGTAGAATTTCCCTTTCAACAAAAGTCCCGGCGAAACTCTCGTATATTACTGCCATTGACAGTATTGAATTCACATTTCGTCCAAAAGAATCAATTCAAGTGACAAACCTAGGGGTGCTACAATAGCACACACTTTCTCGCATTATATTTGAAGATTTTTCGAATATTTACAGAGTTTAACGATAATGAAAACTGAGTCATTCTTTTAAACGTCACTTCTATTCGTGAAAAAAAATGAATAAATGTGCGTTTTTTGAGATTTTGTAATTGCATTAATTTCCACCTGAAATAACACATGTCAATTTCTTGGCCTTCACGTTCCGCCAATTATTTTTATAGGGTACGTTTGCCGCTGACACGGATGTTCTTTGCAAAACATAAACAATAAATAGTACGATTTCATAAGTTTCAAATTGGTTTTGTATAACAAATTAATAGTTAATGAAGAAAAACAGTTTTAATGCATTTTTGCGTTTTATATCAGCAGTCATTTGATCCATTGAAAATGAATAATATGCAATTAAGTGATGTTCAGGTAACAAAATTTCTAGGTCTGCCAATTCAGTCAAACCTCAAATGGAATGTACATATAACAAAATCAAACACTAAATTAAGTTCATTATGTTACGCATTCAGAATTCTATCAAATTCTGTCAGCCTTCATGCAGCTCGTTTCGTGTATTTTGCAAATGTACATTCCAGCCTGAGATATGGTATAACATCTGGGGAAACTCATCATGTGGTTCTCAGACCTTTAGATTGCAAAAGAAAATTATTCAAATAATGAAAAAATGCCATCCGCGTTACACTTGCAAGCCTCTTCATTGAGCTTGGAACCTTACCACTGTCGTGCCTATGTATTTACGAATCTATAATATTTGTCAAAAGTGACTTACTTAAGGGTGGGAACATATTTACATGCAATACTGATAATTATAATTACAACACACGTCGTAAAAATCATGTTCATCAAATGTCATTAACAGCAGCTCATAATCAGAAGTCCACATTCAATACGTGTACATTACTTTACAACGCCAGATGACATTAAAACATTGACGTCGGTTCACAAATTTCAGTTAAAAGTAAAATCATTTCTGCTGCATAATTGCTTCTGCTTCTAATTAGAGGCTATACTGATTATCAAAAAGAAAAATAATGTTTATTTTCACTAAACAGTGATACATAATGAATTAGTTTACATTTTTATTGTATACATTTTTTTAAAAGACTTAATATGTTTGTAACAAATAATGTACTTCAGCTTCCTTCCACTTCCAAACTCCATCTCGATCAGGTTTTTGTCCAGTTTCACTGATTTATTGAGCGCATGCTGAGATGACCTCTTGTTTTGCTTCGAGACGTAAATGTATCTTCACTAAGCTCACGTTTTGTTGAACTCTCTTTTTGCTTGTAATGGTAAGAGTAGAGGTAAGGGAGAGTTGCTATTTTGTTAGCTATGCAGAAAAATCATACTTGCAATTCGTGTACCGATGCAAATAAGTTTTCTATAACTCGGTAACGAAAATGACTATTTTTCAAATATTGCCAATCTTGCGGTTTTTATTTTTATTTTTTATTTATTTATGTTAAACTTTTACTCGTTTTTCAATTAGTTAAAATGACGGGAAGGGAGTCTGGAACTCAAGAACATGCGCAGGAAATCTTCTCCCTCCTACATCTCATACCGTTTTTTCTATTTTTGACTAAACGAATCTAAATCTAAACCTATGAAAATTTAAATAACGCATAAGAGATGTCGGTCCATCCAACGATTGGGGAACGTGGCAATAAGAACGTTGAGGACTATAATTCACCAATGTGGTGGGGCACCATCCTATTGAAACTTAACCGGCTACATGTTATCGATTTGTAGCGTGTTGTTGTTAATCAACTAATTCAAGTAACAGATTTCAGTTACAGTAATTGTTGAAAAACAAAAGACAAAAATTGTTCGTTAAGAAGGCCATCCAAGGTTTTTGTCTGTCTCGCATATGTTCTATTAAAGCTAGAGGGTTTTGTGAATCCGATTTTCTGCACCTGAAATGTGAATGATTGCCTCATCTGAGAACATTATATGCGATAGAAAGGTATCGTCGTCAAGAATGAGATTGAGCTTAGCGAACGCAAATGTTTTTCGCTGTGGTCGGTCGTTGGTCTTTATTTCTTGAACAAGTTGCAACTTGTATTCATGCAAGCGCAATCGACGGTGAACAACTTTGTGAACAGTCGACTTCATTTCTAGTTCTCTGCTTAATGAAGCTAAACCTAAATCTGAGCACATTACTCGTATCTACAACCTTCTCGAGGAAGCTTGGATTTCCGCCACCATGCACAGCTACTTGTCAAGAACGGATCACTTCTTAATGGTCTTAAATTATCGTTGGTCGCAGATTATCGTTGTATACACGACTATTCTTTCGTCACACTTTAATAAGGGTTTTCAATTTTGCATAACACCACACAATCTGTGGAGTCGCCATTTTAGAAACAACTGCTTCCTCTGCGTCTTCTGTAAGAGCAAAGTTGTTACTAAGTTAGATCGTAAACTTCTTGAGTTTTTCTAATTGCTGATATAAAAAATCAAAACGAATTGAAATAAAAAAGGAATGGACATTTCAAATGTTTGAGCCTTAAGGTTGACACTCTGTACTTGCTCTTCGACAGGGCGAGAAAGTAAAAAGGATGCGCAAAATAAAGATATAAATCTATCTAGTCAATAATGAAGAAGATTCCTTTGTACATTATTAGTCTATTGAGTAGTCAGACAGTCTTAGCCTAACTTTATGATTTTGTAACAAGTGCGACAATAATTTAGCGTTCGTGTCACTGTGGTACTGGAACATGGCATCTAGCACAGAAAAGAATGTTACTGACGATTGGCGTTACATTCAGAGAAAATGAATGTAATTTTATTTTCCGTGCAAAGATGGCATTAAACCCTTGTACAATTCGCATAAGAAAGTTTAAAAGGGTAAAATTCATAACATTTGTTAGACATTTCCACACACACGCACACACGCACACACGCACACACGCACACACGCACGCGCGCGTGCGTCTTTTTCGATACGTTAGTGTTTCCACTCGTCCGACCGTTCGTCCACTCGTCCGACCGTTCGTCCACTCGTCCGACCATTCGTCCACTCGTCCGACCGTTCGTCCACTCGTCCGACCGTTCGTCCACTCGTCCGACCGTTCGTCCACTCGTCCGACCTTTCGTCCACTCGTCCGACCATGGTGAAAAATATCGATGTAAAGGTTTTGACGAAGTACACGTTTTGGTGATTCGAGATAGAAAACTTTTCTTTTTAATTATTTTGCATTTTTACTTTCTTTCGGAAAACGAATTTTCGGCACGAAAACTCTTACTGCCGGGCCCAGGCAACGAAGTGGATAAATCTTGCTCCTATTTGCTTTTTCTAACACGTGGTATAGCCATCATTCTTGTTTTTCGTGTATAAGGACCTTGTGGGTCCTTTCGTATACCGGAAAATTGATACTATAACTATCTCTTGAAACCTTTCACACTTGTGCCCGACCGGTCAAGACGCTGAAGATGAGTGCCTACTTCTTGTGAAAGGAAAGTGTCAGAAAGTAGGATTTTCTTTCAAGAACTGCTAAATTAAGAAAATATTACAACACTTATATCAAATGCACATTATGAATGAACAAAAACAATGTCAAAAGAAAAAAATTCTGCAAACGTAATAAATAATTCATTAAATACCGTCAAGAACTGACTGAACATGGATACACTAACAAGCAAAATTCATAAAATTAAGTTTTTTAGCTAGATTCAAACAAAGGCAGAAAATTGTTAGTGACCTCTAACGTCGCGCCGCACCTCGCGGCCTGATTCCCCGGTTTTCTTCGTTCTTTCGAGAAAGCGCTTTTTGGACTATATTTTGTTTCAAAGTGTTTTCATACACAGCGATATTGTTGCAGATCTTGAATATTGAACACTATTAAAAGGAAAATTAACATTTCTAATACTTTATAAAAATGTTTTCGATTATGTGAGGGTTGTGCAATCGAGCAACGCAAACACGAACCACCACTGCGTCAATATAATGCAAAAAGCAAACAAAGAATAAATAAAATAGAATGAAAACGAACGAATGCTAAAACACGGTGCAAATAAAACAAAAAGGTTTAATGTTACAAAGCACTACTCACCGGAGTCGTAGGGGACGTGCTGTGGCTTGTCGAGCGCGCACGACGTCTCCACAAAAAAAATGTGTTCCTCCCCGAGGAGGGGCTCTCCTTTGAAGAGGTCGACGCCGTCGCCGTCGCCGTCGCCTTTGCCTCTTCCGAGGGCTGCAAGGGCTGGTCCTGGGTTGGAGCGGCGCTCCGCCGCCTCGGGCTGCGCGCTGCGCTTGCGCCACGGCATCAGCTGGAGGGGCCGGTCGTAGACGACGAGCAGCAGCGGCAGGGCCAGGGCCAGCGCCAGCGCCACCGACAGCGCTCGCCTCCACGTCATGCCGCGCCGACACCCCGCACGCACCGCGTGCCGGCGCTCACCGCCGCCGCCGCCGCCGCCGCCGCCGCCGACGCCAGCGTTGCAGTGATACCTTGTCCGTCGCGCTTATCTCGTCGCTTCCAACGCCAGCGGCCGACACTGGGAGCGTGCGCAGCAGGCAGCTTCCGTCTGCCCGCCGCCCGCTGTCGGTGCCCGTTCCAGTTGGCACCACCACCACAACCAAAACCACTGAAACAATTACCATTCGTTTGTACCTGGTTTCTACCCATTTATACCACAAAAACATTCGTTTGTACCAAAAGCACTTACAAGATACAGCACTTTTTATTGTGGTGGTGCTAACTTCACCCTAGCAACGCCACCATTGTAAAATATTTGAAAACATTATAAAGCGTTTGTACTTCATTTGTACCGGATAGTTCCACCAAAATTTGCGTTTGTAAACTAATGAGGATACAGCCATTTAATGAGGCGGCGGGAGGTGAACCGGATCTCTACCACCATTCTCGTCACATGAACCGTAGAAAATTGTGAAATCATGTTCAATCGATTGTACCTGGTTTGTACCGCGTAGTTTTACCAGAAATGTTCACCCAGAATTCCTGAGTTACGTGTTCGATTTCTTCGCTCATACATATATCAGCCGTGTGAGTACTATGTAATCCAATAGTCCTGTGACGTTCGTCGCCACCTTTGTCATTTCGGCCGATTTCACGATAAATAAACCCAGACATTTTATTTTAAAGAACAGTGCAAGCCCAAAGTTTGCAGGTTGAGTTTACTTGAATGAAAGGTAGAAGTCTCGATTACATCAGTAACATAGTATCCAACAGGTTGACTTGATTTTCTGAAGTGGTTTTGATCATTTTTTTAAGTTTTTTCTTTGTTTTATGGCATTTTAAAGCATTTTATTTATAACTTTTAGCATTGTTTTAGTTCATCAAAATCCACCCCCTCCTCAAGACCATACATGACCTCCTCGCAACGACTAGTGGCTGTGGATAAATTTTTAATACAGGTAAAAAGTGTCATTTTCGTAGGTTTTGGCGGGGTGATAGTGTTAGGGTGAGAGTTAGGGTGGTTTTCGCTGTAATAGCGGTGCTAACTTCATGGACATGTATTTTGTACTTAAAGGTAAAACTATTATTTTTTTAGGCTTTTAGGCTCAGACTTGCTTTACTTGAGGTTCGTAAGAACGCAAAAAAATTCCAGTACCTTTTAGTATACAAATAAGATAATTTTTCAATATTCGCACCCCAGCAAGTTGGCGCTCTGCCTCTATTCCTCACAACAAATCCAGGAAAGTTAAATAATATTGCAAAGAGTAGGTTTGTACTTGCCCAGTGTAGAAAATGTTACTTGGCATTCTCAAGACTAGAAACCTTTTCTAAGGTTGTGTGACTATCAAGGAAAGCAAAAAGCTAACTGTCAAGGAACTTCAATTCATTTTAAGTAAGTGTGAATTGTTCGAACAACATATGTCGATAATACTGACTGTACCTTTAATGTAAATTTGTTTCGAACATTAATTGCATTGATTGTATTTTTGTTTGATATTCAGTAAGTACGGAGTTTTCAATTTTCGAAAAATCAGTTCTTAACCAACATGAAACCTGCACCATTCTCTTATACGTCATTCAGACTATCTACCAAAAAAATTAATTAAAATTGATAGCGCCATTTTTTAATATTTTGAAAATGTCCCAGGGACGTCTTGTAAAATACCCCAAAATTTAAAAAAAATCGGTTTCAAATGCGAGGAGCTCTGACATCAACCAAATCGATTAGGAAGTATCAATTTTGGAGAAAATTTGCTGAACGGTTTAGCGGCTAAACCTTAGCTGCTAGCGGTCACTCACAGACGGACGGTTTGCCGTCAATCGATTTTTCGGTATCAAGAACCCACATAACAAGGATTCAGGCTCCACCACGTGTTAATGCGTTTTTTTCTATCTTTGGCAACTGGATTTATCTACTTTTTCTTTACCAGGGCCCGGCAATAAGAGTTTTTGAGTCGAAAATTCGCTTTTTCCTGGCGAACGATGACAATACTTTATCTTACGTTATTAAGGACGAGAAAGTAAAAATCTTTAATAAATTCACAATTTGGTTTTGGAAGGAAATTTGAGATTTCTCGAGGCTTTTCAAGCGTTCTTAGATACATTAAAAATTATTTTTGTAAAATAAATGCAAAAAATGTTTGGCGTTTGAATTTGCAACTGAGAAAACATACAAAAACTAATTCCTAATAGTATGAATTATTTATTAATCTTCATTATTTTTCTATCACATAAAAGTGTTAAGTTGCCGAAAAAATTGAAATAAAAAACACGTTTTTGGCTACAGTGGGGAGTGGGTGGTGGGACGAGGGCTAAGAAACATTTCATAAATATTATTATTATGTTAGCGGTATGGTGTCTCACATGTCATTTCGGTGAGTGGAACTCTTTATCATGTTATGCAGAGTATTTATTCATGTTTTTCAATGCTTCATGTAAAGTACCCTCCATAATTAAAATATCGGTTTCAAATTCAAGGCGCAACAATATCGTCTAAATCGATTGAGAAATACCAATTTTGGAATAAATCGGTTCAATGGTTAGTGTTGTTAGCTAGCGTTGACCACAGACGGACGGACAAAGAGTAACATTTTACCTTGAATCGATTTTTCGATAACAAGGACCCCAAAACATTTAACAAGGAGCCCAAAACCCCAACGTTTTGGAGGAAGTAATCTATTACACATGGTGTCACGTAACTTTTCTGCTTACTGAAGTTATTGCAATGCAGTTTTCCCGGAAATGCATTAGGGAATGGGGCTCATTGATACATGTATTCATTTCTATTTGATCACTTGTATTTTATGAGTTATTGTGGTAACTTCCTTTATTTTTTCTAATATAACTATACATATTTTGTAGTTTATCATATACTTCAACTCTCGGTCCAAAATCCTTCGGGCTTTTTGTACCCTGAAATTATCATTACAACCCTAATAACGTCCTTGATTCATAAATAACTATTCTACTAGTGTACAACAGTGTAGTTTATAAATAAAAAAGAATGTACTTTGAATTCGAAAAACAGGGACTTCTGTGTTGTATTCATTTTGTTAAGGATTTCCTCTGCTTGATGGAGCGGATGAACATATGCACTCAAGAAGAGCCAAAAAAGAAAAAAGCATTGGAGCAACACCGCACCAGAGAACAAAATACCTGCGGTGCGAAAGCGAAGAGCAAGCACCAACAAACTGCGGAGGGTAGCGCCAGGCAAGCAGTAGCGCACATGCGTCCCACAGCATAGCCATCCAGCCGGCCGTCACGCGAACCGCTCGCGTCGGCGCGGCGCGGCGCGGCGCGAGACGGGGGGGGGGAGGGAGGGGCGGCGTGGTTTCCGCCAGGCTCCTGGTCGCTGATACGGAGGGAAACAGCTGCCCGCGGCGGGTCGCTTATGTTCGACCCCGACGTCCCGCCCCCCGGTCACTGGCTGCGCTTGTGCGCAGACTATACCGACACCGCCTCCACCACATACGGAGCGCACGCAAGTACCGATGTCTATTGTCCGTTTTGAGAACAGTGACCTCTGACGGACCATCACTTGTGACGCGGATATGCGATCGGGAGCTTCGATTCCTGAAATTAAAGACGTAATGAAGCTTCCGATCGGATATCCGCTTCCAGCAAATGATTTGTCGTGAGGCACTAAAGTTAAATCGTCCAATATGTTGTGTACAGCAGTGGAAGTCTCTCAAGGGAAGAAAGGGAAGAAAGTCCTCTTCAAATATATTCTTATAATTGTTTCCGGGCACGCAAATCATTAGACTCGTTAGAGCTGTAAATAATGTTAATCCTGAAGGTGGCGGTGTTCCTCCCCGCTGGATGGTGAGATATGGCGCCGATCTACACGTCGACTTTTGCGGATATCCCCCATCAAGTACTGGGGCACTTTACCCTGCTGGGACAAGCTCTAACCTCCCTACTGGTCTTCGAACATCCGATAGTGTAGTGCACGTAAGTGTGTGTGCAGGTATGGTGAGAGGATAGGACAAGGAAGTACAACGAAGTACAAGGAATGATCGTGCGCGGACCGTGGCACGTTTGTTTGGGAACTGCTCCAGCATTGACCTTGTTTTGATCGGAGACACTACAGAAAACTACTTATCAGAGAAGACGGCGATTGAATTCGATCCAGCGAAGCTCGTCGAAAAACCGTTACCGTAGAATTCAAGCACTCGAACCACTCGGGCAGAGGACCACCCGCGGCAAAGACAGAGGCAATGTTGGCTCTGATCTAAACTCTTCCGGTTTCTTCTGAATGTAATTACTTAATAGTTCAGTTGACTCCGGCAAGAGTGAATGCGGATGTTGTGAACTCTCGGTTGTAGTGGACTTAAGTCACTGATCCCGTTTCTCTTAACAAATAAGCAATAATAACAAATAAGGAGACTCGATTATAGTGAACCTAATCGTCGGCTATAATACACGTAGGAAATGCAACGTTCTAGACATTAATTCCTTTCTGAAAAAAAAAAATAGTTCGTCTCAGAGCCAGAAATCCCAACACTAGGCTGCTTGGAAAGAATGTCGGCCTAAGGTCATCATCGAAGAAGTCTCTCCTAAGGTGGATGTAGGGGGCCTAGAATGACAACGTTAACGATGACCTTAAGTCTGTGTGGACCACAACTGGCGGCGGCGACGAGCGACTGCTTGCTTCAGTTTCAAACTTAATTAGTTTTCATATTCAATAAATTTTTCTCATTGCCCATAGTTGGGGTGAAGCCTGTACATATTTTATTAATTCCAAACAAAAATTACGCAAAAAATACTCTTTTTTTAAAAAAAATTATATACGACCTTTAAAAACGAGCTTATTTTGTACAACAGACTTTGTCTCTGGCAAAAATCTCTGGTCCTCAATTTTGTAGTTTTGAAATGTTTTTGGCAATTTTCGAAAATAAGGAGCAATACCCCAAAATGACACTAGTATATATATATATATATATATATATATATATATATATATATATATATATATATAGTCCCACATGCCCACTGGTCGTGGGAACGCCTGTGACAGAACGGGTAAGCGAACGCGGCGCAGTTCGAAAAGGGCGCGCCCACCGCCAAGGAAACTATTGCCCG